ACTTTTTGAAGACTGACTTGTTTTACAACAGTTGGAGTTTTGGTTTTTGGGCTTTGGGAAAGCGGGAAAAATTAAAGGTTTTCGACGTGTTTTAAAGATCTAGTTTGTTTAGTGGAAATACTCACGTTTATTATTATCGCCTTACTAGTCTCAATACGAAGTTTATACCAAATTAGTTCTTTTATCTCGTAGAATTTCCCCACAATAGTCATGTTTAATTGGAACATAACGTATTATGTCTGAAGTTGGTAAACTTTCCAAAAAGCACTGAAGAAATTAGTACCTTAGTAGAGGCCTTCTAGGTACACAGAAATTTGTGGGACACAAAAGATGCCAACTATAAAAATATTATTTTGTATTTTTTATTATTAATTTATAAATTACTTTTTTTCACGAACTTCAGTATTAACTAACCACAACTAAGAATAAAAAAATTGGCTTCTATGAACATGTTGCTTGGCCATTGGGGAAAAACTGCTTTGACTTCCTCGTGACAACTAGTGGAAAGGGACCAAAAACAAAATGTAGCCCGTTTAATGAAAATAAGAGATTTTTGTTGGTCTCGGTTTTTTTGTTCTGTTTGGATAACCAAAACATAAATTTAAAGTCCGTTTAGTGGGAAAAACTTTGTATTTTGTTTTCTATTTTGAGAACGATTTCCGAAGTGGAAATTGAAACGCCAATAAACGTATTTTAACCTTTAATTGTGGCTTATTCCCAGTTAAATAGTAATTAACTAAAACAAATGTGCAGGGAACGTTTATAATTAATACTTTACCGGAAAATTGCCTTAATTAAATTGACATTACAAAACTGATGGAAGTTCGGCGGCACCACAAAAATAGAAATATTATAGAATACCGTGAAATCAATAAACGCATAAAAAGAAAAATTAAGCAAGCCAAAGAATTCTGGCTTGAGAATTTATGTAAAGAAATAGAAGACCTCCAAGAAAAGCATGACAGTTTCAACCTCCACAAGAAACTTAAATATACTGCCGGAATTAGAAAACAGAAAAATGCTCACATACTTAAAAGCGCGGACGGAAAAAGTTGTGATCACGAACAACAGTGCAAAGAATGGGTGAGATACATCACTGACCTTTTTGACGATGCTTCTAGAGAAGAAGCTCCAAATACTGCCTGTGACAACCAGTTAGACAGAGGTGCCAGCATACTGAATTCGGTAGTCAAAAAGGCAATACAGCAAGCCAAAAACAATAAAGCAGCTGGACCAGATCAAATCCCTGCTGAGCTACTTAAACTTTTGGATGAGGAAAGCATTGCCTGCTTAACCACTATCTTCAACAAAATTTACAACGAAGGAAAAATACCAGATGATTGGTTAGAGTCACTGTTTATAGCATTACCAAAGAAAAGCAGGCCCACTATATGCAGCGATTTTAGACTAATCATTTTGATGAGTCACACACTGAAGATACTCTTACGAATTATACAAAACCGAGTATTCCTTCTATGCGAAAGTAGGATGGGTAATAAGCAATTTGGATTTAGAAACGGTCTAGGAGCTAGAGAGGCACTATTCTGTATGCGCGTTATTTTAAAAAAAAGTTGTGAATTCACGTTCACGAAAGAATGTTTATCTTTGTTTGTTTATGTTGAGTCCGGGCAGCAGGACTTGACCACTATGATATAAGATTGCTGAAATACTTATATTACAATCAAGTAGCCTCTATCCAAATTGGAGAGAGTCTGACTGAAAAAATATCCATCAAACATGGAGTACGGCAGGGTTGTGTTTTGTCATCCACCCTTTTTAATCTGTACTCTGAAGAAATCTTTAGGGAGGCTTTGGATGACAGACAAGAGGGAGTAAGACTAGGTGGAGAAGTAATCAACAATATTAGATACGCTGACGATACAGCCATTCTTGCAGAAAATCTACAAGATCTCCAAACATTACTAAATCTAGTCAGTGAAGCAAGTTATCGGAGAGGCCTTAAAATTAACATTTCAAAGACAAAGCGGATGGCAGTTGGAAAGATCAATGTAGATCAAGGTCTGATTTCTCTTAATGGAGGGGAGATCGAAAGGGTAAATCATTTCAAATACCTTGGCAGCTGGTTAAATGTAAATTGTGACTCTGATGAAGAGATAATAACCAGGATCGAAATATCACGTAAGGCTTTTATGACCTGGAAACCAGTTTTATGCAACAGAAACCTGTCGATGAATATTCGTAAGAAGATTCTGAAATGTTATGTGTGGTCCATCCTACTGTATGGTTGTGAGACATGAACGTTAAAAACTACAATGCTAAACAAGTTAGAAGCATTCGAATTGTGGTGCTATAGACGAATCCTAAAGATATCGTGGGTTTCGCACACTTCCAATGAAGATGTTCTTCAAATGATCAATTCAAAACGTCTGCTCATAAACACCATAAAGAGGAGAAAAACAGAATAATTCGGCCATATAATTAGAGTACCTAAATACTATCTACTTCGCCTTATAATACAAGGAAAAGTGGAAGAAAAGAGATGGATTGGTCGAAAGAAACTTTCATGGCTGCGTGCTTTCAAGAAAATATCAGACAATGGTGTGGTTCCACAGTAGAAGAATTATTTCGCTCAGCAGCCGACAGAGAAAGGTTTCAGAAAATTGTAAACATGATGACGGCCAACGTCTGAATACGGACACGGAACCCAAAGAAGAAGAAGAGCAGGAAAATATATCAGAAAAAATTCTATCGTTAAAATTCATACAAAAATGGCAGAATTTTTAAAATTGTTTCTTCTTCATTTTTATAAGCAAAATGCTTGTTCAATGTCGATTAATGCCTCTATTGGAGGTTATCACTCTATTATTTGCGTGGTCGCCCGATAATTCTTCTACCTTTTGGTGATTTGTCCCTCGCTATTCTGACTAATCGGGTCTCTTCCATTCTCTTTATGTGTTCGTTCCATTCCTTTTTTCTGTTCAGTGTCCACTTATTTATTTCTGGTATATTGCATTTTCTTCTGATCTCTTCACTCCTCATTCGATCCCTCAGTGTGTTTCCTGTAATTCTCCTCAGTAAACGCATCTCGCTGTTTCTAGTAGTTGCTGAGTTTTGGAGGTATCCGGTCTTGTCTCTGAAGTGTATGTCATTATTGGTCTTATTGTTGCTTTGTAGATTCTTGATTTCACGTCGGTATTAATGTGGGGATTGCGTCATATCGTGTTATTAAGACAACCTGCTATTGCTAGTGAGAGCTGAAGCCAACGTAGTTTTCGCGATATTTTCACTTTTATACACTTGGTATGCCCTGAAAGTACTCGTATTTGGCTGATTACAATCTACTTCAGAGACTCCCATAATTTGGTATGAATTTTTTGCTGTTTTGCAACAGTCTTGCTTTAAAGCAAGAATATCTGATGCAGAATTTGCAAGTAAACTTGCCGAGATTCTTCTGAAACTATGACCGGTATAATTTATGGCATTAAACAATTTCAGCTCTCACTTCTAGTGCTATTCAAATAACCACTGCTCAAAATTTCACATTTAACATTAATATAAATAATTGCCCAACCACAAATTAAACATATTTAGGATGAAATTATAAAAATACAGTTATACTGTACCTAGTGGTTAGTTTTAATTCTCTAATAAATTTTGTTAGATAGTTATATAAATATATTCTTTAAAAATGAAAAATGATTTGTTATTTGAGGGAGGTGGAACATCATAATGTATAACATTGGAGTAAAGTGCCTTTTCCTCCCTTTAATGTACTGCCCTCCGCTACAAGTTGGGTAGTAAACTTCATTCTCAGGAGGAAAAGTAGCACTTTGATCCTTGTTATACAAATAGCTATTTTTAGCACTAGGCAGATCATTTTTCATATTTCCGTCATACATACGTATCATGCATCTGGCGTGAACGTTTTCAAAACAAAATCAGCTATTTGTATATTACATTTAATTTAAACTATTATTGATATTTTTCTTGGTAAACTACGTCGTTAATTTTGTTTTTATATATTAAATTCATGAAGAAAAACCAAGTAAACCACAATAATTATTTTATATTTGTCGGTGAAGATGAGTCATTACCTATAATCTATCAATCACAATTGAATAAAGATGGTAAAAAATTATGAACATATTATCGTTCAGGTTTTCCAGAGAACAGACAAGGTGAAAAACTTGCATCCTTTGGGAAAAATATTCCCATGAAATTTTTTTGCACGGTCACTTTAATGAGATACTCCAGAATAAGGTGCAAGAGATCGCCATATGCAAATTTGATTTTTACAATTATAATATACAAAAATTGTTTAAATAAATTAGCAACACTTTTCAAATGAGTGACCTCTTGAACCTTATTCTGGAGTATCTAATGAAAGTGATAATGCAAAAAAACTCATGGGAATATTTTTCCGAAGGAAACCGAGCCTTACGCCTTGTCTAGAAGGACTTAAAAGTACTAATTTAATACCAACGTGCATGCTAGACGTGCATGCAAGTTGTCCTTGTTAAATTTTTAAATTTAAAAAGACCAATACAACGTTACATTGTTCACGTATAAAATCGTTTCTTTCGACACTTTCAAAATTACTCTTAGGTACCGCATGTAACACGCTTGTATCTAACTTTGGTCCCTGATACTTAAAGTTTCTGAGCCATATAGTAGCACAAGCACGTTAAATACTTTTGTTTTGGTGCTGATATTGATTTCCGTTCTTCAAATAAACGCCTCGTTTAATGCATAGCAAACTTTAGTCGCATTCGTTACTCTATTGGTAATTTCTGGCTCCATTTTCTGCTCCTAATTTACAATAGGGCCCAAACATTTAAAAGTGTCAGCTTACTTAATCTGTCTTTAATCTATTCTGACATCACTTTCATTTATCCTTCTTGGAAGTTACACTAATCTCAGTTTTCAATTTTTTGCTTACGTTATATCCAAGCCCAGTAATTGCTCAGTCCGAAATTTGTTTATTAGTTTAATTGTGTAGGAATTCCCAATAAAATTACTATAAGTTCTATAAGTCATACCTAGTTTTGTAGCCAAGGTTTGCATGATGAATCCCAAAATGGTCGCTCCAAATAAAACCCATAATAGTCTATAGTTGCCTACGGTTCCTGATTGAAGATCGCTTTCTATATTACCAGGATCGAGGTATGCTATGGACATTAAAAATCCCGGACCTGTGAACGCCCATAACTTCTTAAAACTGAAGCGACTCTGAAAAGAAAAATAACTTCATTAATGTTAAAAATTTCTGCTATGGTAAAGCTACTCATATTATCCATTAAAGTGGTGATTTCTAGTCGTTTTCTTAGTATTATGTATTACGCTGCAAGGTATTTGTAATAGTCCACCATATTGAAAATTACATTGGAAAATCGACTAAATAGAAAAGAAAATGATGCGAGACTTATCTTGCTAAAAACAGTAAATTATTAATATTCTAGCGATATCAGTTTAGGTTTTCGTTTTTTATTTTTTATTAATTTTTTTTGCTTAATTTGCTACCCACTAAAAATTTTAACTTTTAAATTTAGTACCAATCAAAACTTAGCAGTGTACAGTTTTTGGTGTTTTTAAAAGTTTTGAAAGTAGCGAGAAAAAACTTGGCGAGTTTTTAAGAAGGTTTGACCCTGTGTTAAGATATTATCGGGCATGGCGTCAAGAAGACCAAACACGAAGAATAAAAGAGTGTCAAGATCGTCTTCCCCAGTCTCTAAGGGACTGCTTCTCCACTACAAGGTATATTACAAATCAATGGTTTGCTGAACATAGAAGACCAATTGTGAGACGCGAACAATCATATCACACTAGGTGAACCTTACCCCTAAACATCGACGTAATCCTCTTGTCTGGTGCAGAGATCGATTGGGACCAGAATGGAATAAAGTTAATGCATGATGGCTGAGCCAGAAGACGACATGGTGAAAAACGAAATCCACAGTTTTTGTCGAACGGCATATGCACCGCACTATTGGGGATATAGTGTGACCTCTAATCTTCGTCTGAGAGAACATGACAGAATAGCGAAACGTAACCAAAATTTTGCAATCTCATTGTCATACTTTACCTTTATGCTGAAGTCAATTTTTGCTCTGGCCCCCAAGATGTCCAGATTTGTCTCCAATTGAACACGTATGGTACATGATGGTTCGGAGACTTCTTAATTTAGAATATCCTCCGCAAACTTTGAAAGTACTTAGTAGTAGAAGTTAATTAGGGTATAGAACGAGATATTCCAGGAGAATATTGACCACCTAATTAGGAGTGAGCCTAGGTGCATCCGAGTATGCTGGCCACAGAGGAGCATTTAATTATTGTTAATTGATTTATTCCTGTCATTAATCATGTAGAAATCTTATTTAACTACACTGTATATTTGTAAAAGATATTTTTAAAATATAATAATTAACACTATATGTTCAGATTTATTTGTCACTTAGTAGATTTAGACTTTTTTATATTTATTTTTGGTTCATATTTTTCTTGTTTTTTTTTTTTGTAATAAGAAGAGTGCTTCGTCAGAGCAAGTCATAATTACATCATCATCTTCATATCTTATAATGTTGATAGTTCTTCCGTTAATTAATATTTCATTACTTGCAGATAGTAGTACTTCTTCGAAAGGAATCCAACAACTTTACGGTTACATTTTTTTCCACTGTGTAATTACACTACTCTCAAGCACAGACATTAATTTGTGTACATATGATAACCTTCAAGTTATTTTTACTAATTCTGTTTGCAGTAGAAGTAAAAAATATATAACATGTTTTTATATTATTACTCTAAAGTCAGGATTTCCCTGATGAACTTAGATAAAGATGTTTTGTTTCTTTTTTCTTTTATAAAGAAATATTGACAGTTTGGTAGAATCTTCTGTTAATGCCGGTTTTCCTTATATTACAATTTAATAATAAACGTATCTGGAAAGGTCAATTTATTATTTGAATAATGAGATAAGCCACTAGTTTAAATTCTAGGAAAGCGGGTTTTATATTATTATACAGATTTGGTAGGAATATAATTTTTCCTTACTAATCTTTGAATAAGAAAAGAAATAGCATAATTATAAAGGACAAATATAAGATTGTTTACATGAAATAAGTGTTCAACAATCGCTAAAATACGAGCACAATATGTTCTCATGGCTGAAGAACATAAATGAGAGGACTGGACTCGATTTATGTACACTTTTGAAAACTGCGCAAAACTTAAGTGTTTTGCGCAGTTGTTGGAGCACAGAAACTATTACCAACCTCCACCAATGGAGACGAAACTTTTTTTTCGTCCTGGATGATCTCTTGAAAGAAAAGTCCTAAGAAAGATATTTGGACCTATTAGCAAAAACGGATGGAGATCCAGGCACAACCATGAACTTTACCAACTGTTAAAAGAGGCACCAATCTCAGAAGAATTCGTTAAACTTCACAGACTTCGATGGGTTTGTCTTGTAGTGACAATGGAGACTTAAAAATTTTCAAAAAGAGCCCTAGATAGTAAAACGTAGGGCGCAAGACCAAAAGGAAGGCCACAGAAAATGTGGGAAGAATAAGTAGCAGCAGACCCGCAAAAGTTGCTAGACATGAGAACCTAAAGATCAGCGTGAGACCGGCAAGGTTGGAGGCATCGTTTGGAGAAGGCCAAAGCTTAATTTGGTTAGAGCCATTGGAGAGACAAAAAGAGAGAGAGAGAGAGAGATCTCCTGTAAGTCTTTCAAAGCCTTAACGACTCATCTTTTTTTGTCTGATTGATCTTTATCATATTTACTGCATTAGATTTTGGTTACTTCTTGGTCGAATTATTCGACCATTACGGTAATTTGATTTCCGTTAAATATTGTTTCGTCAGTTTAATAGTTTCTTTCTTAAATTATTAGTTTTCTCCTGAAAACTTTAAAACTCATTTTGCTCATCATTTATTATATGTATATGCTCTCTCTTTATTTCTTTTTTATGTTTTTATTAGTTAAGACCTTTGCATCATACCTTATTTTTTCCATTAAACTCCAATAAGACCTGTAGCCTCAACAAAGGCCTTCAGTTTCCTTATTGGTAGTTTTAGGATATTTTCTGGTTATATTCTTAGTTGACCAGTGAATTTCTGCCCCCTATTATTAGCACATCGCAGTGTTATATAATGCATATGGCAATCTCTACTTCCTTTAATTATTTTCTGCACCATACTTATTTTACCCTATCTGGTTTGTATAGGTGTTTTCTTAAACAGCAATATCTAGTCACCATTTCGGTAACCGTTTTGATCTCTCGCTTATATTGTCTCACAGATTTTTTTATTATTCTTGACTATTTTCTTAGTCTGGCATTGCCCTTAAGTGGTTCTATATTTATTTTGATAACTTATCAGTCACTTCTGAACCTCGTTTTTCGTGGCATCTTCAGTCATGGCACATAATAGTTCTGGGCATTAAAAGGTTTTTCTCGAGCTTTGTTTTGTCAATAAATCTGCTCGTTCATTCACGAGAATTACCTCATGATCCGGCATCCAATTAAAGATACTTTATTTTCTTTTGGCAGGTTGTTGAAGAGATCTTTGCAGTTCTTCTTCAGTTTGAGTGGGTTAGTGGGTTATTTACTGAGAGAATAGCTGCTTGACTATGTGTATAAATGTTAACTCTCTTTGATTTGGAATTTCCATCTATGTTTTCATTGATACAGACTACCAAAGCAAAAACTTAAACCTGAAAGAGAGTTGTATATTGACCAGGGCTGTAAGAATTATTATAATTACATGTTTGCTCAAAGACCCATTGATTTAGTACAATTCAAGCACAATACAAGCACTTGCAATTCTTGAAGCCTTGAAATATTTCGACAGTTTAAACAATAATGCAGTTTTAATAATATCCGATTCATTATCAGTTTTATTATCTCTCAAAAATACAAAGTTGCCCAATTATAATTCTAATCCTTTTATTTACCAAATTAAGAACATGCTTGTCAACCTTAAAAATAAAAATAAACTACGAATTTTATTTGGGTAAAGGCTCATGTTGGTATAAAACATAATGAGTATGTTGATTTTATTGCAAAAGCTGCAATAACCTCGACAGCTGAAATTTTACCAGATGAGAGAATTTGTGTTCCTGATGCTTTTCTCATCTCTAAAAAAAATTAAACAGATTGTTGGAACACTTCCTGGTAAACTTTTTGCGACCATTCAACAACACAATACGTGCATATACAACCACACATCCCTAATTCCAGATGGTTTAAGAATTTAAATACCGCTCGTAAATATACAACAACTTTAATAAGATTGAGATTTGGCCACGCTTGTTATCCTGTTCATCTTGCTCAAATTAAAATATACAATTCAGACTTATGCGAAACTTGTCAAGAACAAGGAGATCTTAACCACATCTTTTTTAAGTGTTCCAAATATCTTCAGCATTCAGGAACTCTTTTAAACAACTTACAATCTCTGCAAATATTTCCTCCATATCACATAAATAACCTGTTGGCTACTAATAATAAAAAGTCTATGATTGTTTAATTAAATTTTATACATAGTGCAAATGTATGTCTGTAGTCAATCTTAGCTAAGCTCGTTAACCTTTGTTTTAACCCAATTGTTGTTTACCTTTCTTTCCGTGACCTATTGCTAGTAATGTCTTAAACAAATGTCCTGATGGGTCCCTGGACGAGAAGTTAGTATCCCTGTTTTTCCTTATATTTGTTTTTTCTTGCTATAATTTTCTCTTTTTATTTGATTCAGTTATAGGGATTTTATAAGGTTTTTTGACTCGAATAGACACACTTTTTGCACTATAGATTTTACACTTATGTATGTGTACACTTGTATATTATGTACACTTATGTATGCACTTATGTGTATGCATACATTTTATTTTTTTTATTTTTTTTTTAGTATTAATTATATTGGAATATTGATATTATTAATTTTTCTTTTATTATTTCTCTATACGTAATTGGCTAAATAGCCAAGTGTTAAAGCCACACAAAAAAAAATAGTACAATGGACAGTTTTTAATCCATCAGTGAACCATATTCATTTCATACACTTAGTACACAAGTTTCCATTAATATTTGGAGCTTTTTGTTAGATGATATAATTTTGATAGTCTTCTTAGTGAAGATTAGTTTTTGTGTTATCATATATCAGTTTATTATAAAGATGGATTCCTCAAGTGTAGTCCCAGTAGTACTTGTGTGGCTATTCAATACATAATTTTG